TCACATGCTTCTCATTCAGTTTGCTATTAATGATGAAGAAATGATTGCTGCTGCTTTTTGGAGTATTTGTGCCTGTATGAAATGAAATCCCCGTGCTACCACAGTATAGCTTTGAACATTTTGGCTGTGATGTGTCTGTGTTTATGTAACATCTGCTTAGAAGGAAACCATCCAGACAGGATTAAAACTCAGTTATAAAATCAGTTCACAGCAACTAATAAATTCAAAGCTCATACGTTTATACTTCTTTAAGACATTTTATCTTTGCATGAAGTAAGGAGTTAGGTTCAAAGTGTACTCAGCAACTGAACTGTCTCTGTTTATTGTCCTTTCTTTTACATTTCCTGTGAACAGCCACATCAGTTCTATCGGTTGAGACAGTGTGATGCTGCTAAGCTGTTTGCTTTAAACATGATTTCTGGTGTGGGGTGAAAACCTACTGATTTTGTAGTACAAGTAAGACCAAGAATTGATTTGCATTGATTGTAGAAATGTCAACACTATCATATGGTGAGTAGATTTGAGTTGTGGTAAAATCCCAGAGATGTTCTGAACAATAATTATTTACAGTTTGCTCCTCTCTTCCCACTCGTCCAACAGCAGTGCCCAACCAGCTGCTCACTCCATCTTTTCATCCCCTGATGCCCAGGGGCCGTCTCTGGGCTCCTGTCAGCCCCACACTCACATCATGTTCCTCAAGACACACAAGACAGCAAGCAGCACAGTGCTCAACATGCTGTACCGCTTTGGAGAGGAACGCAACCTTCGCTTTGCCCTTCCACTGGGCTACCAGCTGGGGTACCCACTACCCTTCAATGCTCACAGAGTCAAAGGTTATCGAGGTCCCCGAGCCACGGAGTTTCACATCATGGGCAATCACATGAGGTTTAATAAGCCAGAGGTAAGTCGTTCACACGAAGAGAATGGTGGGTAAAATAGAAGGCTGACAGCAATGACTGAAAATGGTTTGATAATCATACAGCCATGTGTATAATCCTCCACTGTTCAAATTTCCAACATGGCTGGACATTTTAAAGAGACTCATTTTATAGTTTATATATAGAAAATGAAAGTGTACAAACTCATATACAGACGTGACATCAGTAGCCTCAGCCATATAATAAAAATCGGCAGAAGATAATCAACAACAACTAATGAACAAAATACACACAAATAATACACAGAGGTCGTTTTGTGGGCTAAAGTGATGTTCATTTAGAATTTGCTCAAATTGGACTAAAAACACTACAGACACTAAACTCCATGCTTAGTCTGACTTAACCTAACCGCCTGTATGACTGTAGGAGGACTGCCAGCCCATCCAAACCTTCAGACTCTTAGGAAACTGAACCCTTCAACCAGCACTAGAAGGTCCCAGTGGGATTGGTTAGCCTAACTCTGCCGGGCCGTGCATTAGCACTGTTTGTCATTCCGGCTAATCACCAGACTGCTAGTGTAAATACCTGTAAATACCCGTGTCAGCAAGCCAAACCCTCTGTCCAGATTGAGCATGCTCAGCGGTAGAATGACATCAGAGGAGCTTCTGTTGGTTTCATAATTAAAACAATGGATAGTTGAACCGTTGCTGATGTCAGAGACAATACGTGATGCTACTGCAGTAGCATCGTTATTTGTAACTGTTTCAATTTTTGTCTTCCAGGTGGAGAAAGTGATGCCTGCAGACACATTCTACTTTTCTATCATCAGGGATCCTGTCGCGCTGGCGGAGTCCTCTTTTGCTTATTACAAAGAAGTAGCTCCTGCCTTTCGGAAGGCAAAAGGGCTGGGCGACTTTGTCGACGACCCAAATAAATACTATGACCCTCGTCTTCGCAACAACCACTATGCCCGCAACCTGCTGTGGTTTGATTTTGGCATGGACAATAATGCTAATTTCTCAGTGGAATTAGCTCAGCATGGTGAGGCCACGATCCGCCAGACATTCAGACTGATTCTTGTGTCCGAGTACTTTGACCAGTCTATGATCCTGCTGAGACATGCCCTCTGCTGGCCACTGGATGCTGTAGTCTCATTTAGCCTTAACGCTCGGCAGCAAAAGCCCAGCAGCAACAGCGTAATGAGCGGAAGCTGGGTCGGCAAAGCTGCCGTAGCGGCTGGCGTTGGTGCTAGAGCTGGACGCTCACAAGGCAAGATGTTGCCCAATCTGTCGCTAACGGATCATCAGCGGGAGAAGCTACGCCAGTGGAACGCCTTAGATTGGTACCTATACAAAGCCTTCAACCGCACGTTCTGGGAGGATATCGACAAGTTTGGTCGTGCCCAGATGGAGCGGGAAGTAGCTCTTCTCAGGATGCGGCGGGAAATCCTGGGCCGGGTTTGTCTGAAGGATGGTGGAAAGCCCGTAGAAGCGTACCGGATACGAGACAAAAATATCCGACCCTTTCAGAGCGGAGTAGTAAAGATTCTTGGATACGAGCTCCAGCCGGGTCTCGACAATGCTACCAGGACGGCCTGTCTGAGGATGATTAG